GACTATGTTTTCTTTATATCCATATGGATATTTTATCTATTCTTTCAAGTACTGACATGGGAAGATTAAAATTTTTAACTGAAAATGGGATCTCTCTCTCTCTCTCTCCCTCCCTCCCTCCCTCCCTCTCACTTCTCTTAGTGTTTGCTTCATGAATTGTCAAGGTTATTTATTAAAGATGTACACATTTAGAATTGTTAGGCCTTCCTGATGAATTACCTATTTTGTCCAAATTACCCTCCTTGTTTCTTTATTACTTATATTTCAAAGCCAACTTATTCTTGCTGTTTTCGTGGTATATTTTCTTCCATCCTTTTAATTTTTGGCCTTTCTAGTTTTAAAGTTAAACTGTATAAACTTGGAGCCAGGTGTGGTGATCCTGAAATCCTAGCTGTAGGGAGACTGAAGCTGGAAGACAACAAGTTGGGTGCGCAGCCTGGACGCCTTAACTGAGTGAGACTCTGTCCCAATATAAAAATGTGAAGAGAAGAGTTGGGAAGTAGCTTAGTAGAACAGCACTTACCTAGCATATCGAAGGTGCTGGGTTCAATCTCTAATAATATGAAAGGGGGAAAAATTTAGGACTTTTTTTTTTGTAATGTTGATAATTTCTGTTTTTTAATTGTATTGTTTACTCCATTCATTTATGCACATATTTTAGACTGTTTAAAATTGTCTTGAGCCCCCCAAGTCTGCTTATTTCCATTTATTTATTTTGTCTTTGTTCTTCAGATTGCTTTGTGCTCAATTTCACTGATATCCAGTCTGCTTGATGGTTAAGCCCTTCTGGTGAATATTTCATTTCAGTTATTGTAGTTTTTCATGTAAAAAATTTCTAGTTTTTTTTTCATAGTCCTTTATTTCTTTAACAAATTTTTCTTTATTTCTTTGAGTATTTTTTTTGAAGAGTATTGGTTTTCATCCTAATATTCATTTACTTGCTGATTACCCTTAACTTGTGCAGGCTTAGTTTTATACTTTATAAAAGTAGATGTGTAGAAAGATGATAGTATTTACCAAGTTCTTTTAACTCAGTAGGACTGAGCCTCCAGATTGTATCTTTTTAATTTTTTTTTTAATATTTATGTTTTAGTTGTAGTTGGACACAAAGGTACTGTACCTTTATTTTTTTAATTTATTTTTTAACGTGATGCTGAGGATCAAACCCAGGGCCTTACACGTGCTAGGCTAGTGTTCTACTGCTGAGCCACAACCACAGTCCCCCCAAATTGTATCTTTTTGATCTTCAGAAGTTTACCATTAGCCTTTTTAGGTAGTGCTAGAGTAGGCCCTACTTTAGAGCATTGTGCTTTCTTTAGCTGTGTCACCTAGATGCCCAGGTAATTACCAGGGTTTCTTCAATTTTGTTTGACTGGAAATCCAGTGTTTTTCCAGTGTTGCTTAATTTGCAGTGTTTCTATTCTGCTGTCAACCCCATAGCAGTTGGGGTATCCTCTGGGATACTTTGTCTCTCTAGGTAGCTGATCCTTTCTAGGGATCTGATCTCCCTCTTTTACAGCTCTTAACTTTCCAGTTTCCTCCCCGGCATAATCCAGATTCCTCATTTGTTCTGAACTCTCTGCTTCCTTGACTCAGCAGGATTGCTGTGCTTTGCTGTTCGCTGGTTGGGATATTTCAAGTAGTTTTTGGGACATTATAGGGTGGTTGACTTGTCGATATTCTCTTCTCTTAGGGACCAAAGTCTGTGCTGTTTATTTTACAAAGCCTGGAAACTGTTGTTTCATATTTCATGTTTGATGGTTGTTTACAATGAAAGAGCTCACTAGTACCACTCATTCCATCACAGCCAGAAATGCATGACCCTGGGTGATAAATAGTGGTGTATATTGTGCCTTGCTAGGATTATCTGTGTTTTCCATTAGTGATTTGTTATTTCCATGTAACAAAATTTCTTATCTGTTCTTAGAGGAAAAACTTTATCTATTAAACATAATTTAACTATTATCTATTAAACTGGATTTATTAAACAATGATTCTCTAAAATTTTATTCATTTTATGTAGCATTTGATCTGTAAGTAAAATGGTTCTTCCTTGTCTCCTCTAGGGAAGAGAAGTGTTCCATTTATTTTTATCAATAATGTTGATTCTAGATGTGAATAGTGTTTGACAAGCAGTAAATAGAAACATTACTTATTGAATCTTTATTTAAACTGGAAATTTAGTCTTACCTGTCACATCAAGTTACTAATTAATTCACCAAATATTTAGTGAGTGTCTTTTATTGCTGATGCTGACACTGAACTTGGCACTGAGGAGACATTGAAGAACAAAACATATGAAATAATCCCTGCCCTTGGTGAGTTGACATTGTCATATGGTAGATAGGGAATAAGTACAAAGAAACAAATTATAATTTTGGATATACTAGGAAGAAAACAAATGGAGTTCTGAAGTAGAGAACAGTGAGCTCCTACTTTGGGTTATGTGGTCAGAAAACCATTTGAGGAGTTCTGTGTTTCAACAAGGTGATTAAGGAGCTAGTATACTTGGGAGAAAGGTGGAGGCCAGGACTGATGGGTTTTCTAATGCTTTCTATAGTACATGTAAAGATCCTGAGAAAAAGTTTGTTATATTACAGGAGTTGAAAGAAGGTGTATGAAATAGCAACAAGATGAAAATAGCAAGATGTAAATTGGGAAGTTGGGCATAGGTAGATCATTTAGGACCCTGAAGACTATGGTCAGAGGCTTAATTTCCTCCTAGCTTTTTTTTTTTCCCCAAAAAAGAGTAGGGTGATCAAAAACTGGCATACTTCTGAGGGAAAAGGAGCACAAAGTGAATGGAATACTGCGTTGGCAGATGTAATCTGGCCGTGTTTGGGGGACATCATCCTAAACGTGGGCTTACGTATGTAGAAATAGCATATAGATTCTGAATGCTTCATTCTTCATGCCATTAGGCAAGTTAACTTCTCTGTGCCTTATATTTGTCACTTGAAACAGGGAAATATTACCTCATTGGGTCTATTAAGATGAAATAAGAAAATACATGTTTCAGAATATATAGTGAGCTGGTCATGGTGTCACATATGCTTGTAATTAATTCTACCTACTTGAGGATGAGGCAAGAGGATTGCAAGTTCAGGGTCAGCCTGGGCATTTAGTAAGACCCTATCAGAAAATAAAATTTTAAAAAGGAAGGGTATGTTCTTAATTGTTAGAGTGCTTGTCTAGCATGTGTGAATCCCTGAATTCAACTCCGAATTCAATCTTCAGAACTGCCCGAAAAAGAAAAACCATGGTGCCTGCCACCTACTAAGTACTCAATAAATTCCTTCTTTCAGAAAATATTTATTAAAAGGTTATTATGTGCCAGGCATTAACTAGGCATGGGGGATTAAACAGTGAAAAAACATAAAAGCCCTTGCTTTCATTGGTTTAACTTCTATTGCTGAGATAGGTGCAAATTATTATTATTATTATTATTTTAAGAAAAGGATGCAAGATGATTAATAAGTGCAAGGGAGCAAAAGCAAGGGAGAATGAAATAGGAAGCAGTGCTGGCAGCAGAGGGAAACAGCAAGTTGAAAGTTTGAGAAGCTCCATCAGATCATGTGTTTCTGAGAGGGCAGCATTTGAACGGGGATTTGAGGGAAGTAAGGAACTGAGTGTGACTAGAGGATGGTTACAGGCAGAAGGAATAGCACATGGAAAGATGACAGGGAAAGCCTCTTAGGGGATTTTAAGCAGAGGAGGGTTCAGAAGAGGTTTATATTTCAGAGGGATCATTAGGTTGAGTGACAGCAGGGAACCTAGCTGAGACTTGCTGATAAGTGAAATAAAAGATGTTGGGCCAGGGTTGTAGCAATGGAAGTCGTTAGTAGATTCTGAAACTAGTGGATGGTTGGATTTTGAAACAATTTGAGGTAGAATTGAAATGATTGACTGACAGAATTTTTTAGTCCAAGCTAAAAGATGGAAGCTGCCATTTATCAAAATTGGGGGGTTGGGAGGCATTATGGGAGGAATACATTCAAAGGTGAAGTTTGAGATTTTCAGTTTTGGTTGTCCTGTAAGACACTGAGTTATAACTGCTAGCAATTATTTATCATTAATTTTCCAATAAAGGTTAACTGTTATAATCTTTACTAAGTATTTGTTGACTCTGTAATAGATAATTTGCTCTCTACTACAGTGGCAAGGAAGTTTGGGGAATTAAAGGAGCAGTCCAAAGTAGAGACCATTCTTGCCCTTGTGGAACTTAAAGTTTAATAGGGAAGATAGGAATTGATCTAATAACCATATTTTAACCTTTTAAATAGGGTACCTAGAAAAAAATAAGGATGGATTAATAAAATCACAGCTATTCTTAGATATCTAAATCTATTAGATTCACTTAAGTTCTGATAGTGAAGGATGTACACATGGATGTTTCAAATAAAAATAAATGTTTTCCCCAGTGACTTATCTTGGATGTTTTTATTTAACAATATCTTATTCTTAAAATTGGCTGATTGCTGGGCACAGTGGCTCATGCCTATAATCCCGGAGGCTTGAGAGGCTGAGACAGGAGGATCACAAGTTCAAAGCCAGCCTCAGTAATGGCAAGGTGCTAAGCAACTCAGTGAGACCCTGTCTCTAAATAAAATACAGAAAAAAATAGGGCTGGGGATGTGGCTCAGTGCTTAAGTGCCCCTAAGTTCAATCCCGGTAACCCTCCCTCCCCCACCAAAAATTGACTGATTAACACAAGAGTATTAAAGTTCATGAATTTAGCTTTATTTAGAAGAAATGAGATACTGGTATATTGAACTCAATGTTGAAAATTATCTGTTTCATGAAATATTTAGGCTGTTGTAAATTTTCTCCTTTATGTTGAATATGCTTTTACTTTTTAATAGTTAAGGATCCAAAAAAAAGAAAAAGTTAAGGATCAATTTATTTTGCAGCAGAAGGCACTAACAGTAGGATTATAGTATAATCTATTTACTCTCCTCTCATAAAATTATTTATAATTTTTATGATTAAAAATTCCACAGGTTCGTCATAAGGCATCACAGAAGGTTTATGCTATGAAGCTTCTTAGTAAGTTTGAAATGATAAAAAGATCAGATTCTGCTTTCTTCTGGGAAGAAAGAGATATTATGGCCTTTGCCAATAGTCCCTGGGTGGTTCAGGTAAGCATACTAACTTTTACAGTTTATTTTATTTTTTTAAGTGCTATTATTCTTAAGAGTTCATGTGCTGAAAGTCCTTGGTCTCACTTACATAGTAATAATGCAGTTGTTTTCAGTGAGTCAATATACTTGTTTAATGTTCCTGAACAGTATCTGTATAGACACATGTAATAATTACTTAAAATTGATGAATGCATGGAAGTATTACTTGCAACTTTTTCCTTTTTAACTCTCTTCTATAAAAAAATTAGCTTGATCATCAACATGTCATTACTCCTGCCTACCTTTTCTTGTGGTTTACATCATAGAAATGTAGTAAATTTATTGACTCATTTGGAAGGATATATACATATTAATATCATTTAGAAATTGTTATTACATTAATTAGCCTATCTCAGGAAAAAAATTACTTGACTGTAGGAGAATTTCCAATTGTTTGTCCTTTGTATATTGCCCATAATTTAAGATAGTATTAGCACTCCTGATTCTGCATCTTATTTGAACGTAGGTTAAGAAATTTTTGGTTTTGTTTTGCACCAGTTTTACTTCTCTTAAAGATTTTGTAATACATATCTAAATCCACACACATTTTTGAACAAGTGCCATGAGCAAGATGCCACTGCATGTTCAGAAAATTTAAATGATCTTGGGAGTTTGATACCTTGCTTGTGGAATGCACTGAGGAGGTTTAAAAAAAAATTGCCATATTAATGACTTTGTCTTTTTATTTTTATTTTTTTATGGTACTGGGGATTAAGCCCAGGGATGCTGAGCTATATCTCCAGTCCTTTCTATATTTTATTTTGAGACAAGGTCTTACTAAGTTGTGTAGGGCCTCACTAAGTTGCTGAGGCTTGGCTTTGAACCTGTGGTCCTCCTACTTCAGCCTTCTGAGTTTCTGGGATTTCAGGTGTGTGCCACCTCACCTGGCTTGTGACTATGGCATTTGAAACCTCATTACTCTTGTTTTTTTGTTTTTAATATTTAGTCTTAATCTCCCCCTCCTCTTTATTTTGTTGATTATATGTAGCCAGTTATTAGAAATTCTATTATGTGCAGCTAAAACTAAAAATTTTGTTTCAAATTATGTATCACAATAATTTACTTGACTAAAGAATGACTATAAAATATTATTTGTTCCATGTTTAGCTTTAAATTGCTTTTATAGTTGTATATTCATTGCTATTTCCAGATATTATTTCATATATTGCTATCTTTTGATCTTTAATTCTGTTAGGTGGAGCCTTATGAAGTGTTAATTGAGAAAGAAAGGATCTCTCAATAGTTGAAATAATCTGCAAAAGCAAATCAACAGTCAAAACATAGTACAATTGAAAAAGTAATTCAGATTATGACTGTGGTATTCATGTGTTTCTCTCTCTCTTTTAACTAATATGCCATGCAACATTACACTTACATGTATGAAATGTTTTAATTTGGGGGGAAACTTGTCAAAGGGACTGACCTATTTTTATTTATTAATTTCATTACTCACCTTTTCAAAAATATATTCACAGAGTTGTTTAATCACTACCACTGCCTAATTCTAGAATGTTGTTGTTATCCTCAAAAGAAACTCTAAATCATTTGGCAGTTATTTCTCAATTCTCTCTGACCCAGTCCTTGTCAACTACTAATATGTCTCTATGGATTTACCTTTTCTGGATATTTCATATTTGCTAGTTAACTTTCCATTGTTGTGACAAATACCTGATAAAATTAACTTAAAAGGAGGAAAATTTTAATGCATCAAAGGTTTCAATCCATGGTCACTTGACTCTGTTTTTTTCTGGGCTTGTGATAAGGCAGAACATTATGATGGGGAGTGTTTTGTGGGGCAGAGTTGCTCACTTTATGGCAACCAGGAAGCAGAGACAGAAAGAGAATGGGTCTGGGGACCCTTAAGTAGGTCCCTACTGATTTATTTCCTTTAACTAGGCCCGTCTTCTTAAAAGTTTCTACTTCCTTCTGCCAGATAGCCCATTAAGCTATTCATCATTAGTGGATTAATGCATTGATGATATCAGAGCCCTCATGATCCAAGTACCTACCCAAAGCCCCTCCTTTAAACAGTGATGCATTGGGGATCAGGCCTTCAACACATGAGCCTTTGGGGGACATTTGAGACCCAAACCATAACATTATATAAATGGGATCATATGATATGGTATTTGTGACATCTTTAAACATTCATTCATATTATAACATATGTTAGCACTTTGTTCCTTCCTGGCTGAGTTATGTTCTGTTGTCTGATTATACCAAATTTTCTTCATTCATCACTTAATGGACATTTGAATCATTTTTATTTTGGGCTTTTTTTTTTTTTTTGACTGTTTTGAATAATGCTGCTGTGAATTTTCTTTCATATGGCTTTTGGTGACTAAGTTCACACATTCCTTTTAGGTGATCTACCTTGTAGAGAAATTGATGGATCAGAGAGTGTGCATATAATCAGTTTCAATGGATTATTTCAAATAGCTTTCTAAATCTCAGCTCTTATTTTTTAATGACTATTCAATATTTAATTGTACAAATGGGCCCATGATTTGTTGGTGCACTATGTTTGTTGAAAGTAGCTATTTTCATTTTTCTTACATAAATTATGCTGCAGTATAACTCTTTGGTCCCTCTATATGTCTTACATATATGTTTTTAGTGTGATTTTTAAAAATTCAACAGATGTATATTGGCACATTTAAAAATCTTATTCTTTTGCTGGTAGAGAGGACTTTTTATTCTAGTTTATCTAGTTTGTTCTGTTTTTCTAAGGATACTAGTATTTTTCTAGTGTCCTTATTTTTGTTGTAACTCTTTTTATGGTAAGCTCTTCCTTGCTTTCTTTTCCAGTTTTATCCCCCAAATGTGTACTCTAAGTATATTATTTTAGTTTTGGTCTTTTTTTTTTTTTTTTTTTTGCAATGCTGGGGGAAATAAAATCTAGGATCTCAGACATGTAAGGCAAGCACTCTACTACTGAGCTAAATCCCCACCCAGTTTTTGGTATTTAAAAAACTTTTTAAATTTAGGTATATCTTTTACCTTTTGTCTCTCAAGCTATAGTATTCCTGTTCTTTGATAGTTTTTTGTCCCCAGGTTGAAAACCTGGATTTTGATAATTTTGTCCTTGTGGTATAGTTCAACATGCTTCTCTCTCATTTGAATTTTTGTAAGTTGATAGAGTAAAGGGTTTGATTGGATTCAGATTTCATTTTTAGGAGGCTATTTCATAGGCAGTATTTTTCTTCTTTCAGGAGGCCAATGTCTGATTATCCTGTGTTATCATAACTATTTTTGATCAGTGTCTTGATCTTTTAAGGATTGTAAAACGGTGATGTTTCAATTTCATCACTCCTTCTTAATTGTAGTGACTGGAATGTTTCTATAAAGAAAGATATTCCCCCATTTACTAATTGGTTACTCCATGATATAGTTCACATTGGAAGGACAAAAACTTCATTATAATTTCCCTATATTTACCAGTTTCCAAAAAGGAAGGACATATTTTTCTTTTTATCTCTTAAGGGTGACCAGTTTGGGGAGGAGGGTGGAATCAGTTTGAATGCATGGACCTAAAAAATGTAGTTAATATATTTTAGTCCTCTGAACACCTTGTTGAAGCTTATGTTATGACACCTTTGGCCAGTGTAATCATATTTAAATTGGTTCCTGAGACCTTTTGACAGAGCCTTAGGTGTTTTTAATAGTTTGCTTTTCTGTCTGGTGAAACAGGGTGTTCCAGACTTATATGAATTCTGCCCATGATATGGAATTAGGTGTGCTTGTCCATCTGTCTGTTGTATATAAATATTTCATGACTATTTCTTTAGAATAGGGTCCTGGCAGAAGTTGGGTGTGGTGGTGTATGCCTGTAATCCCAGTGGCTCGGGAGGCTGAGACAGAATGGTGAGTTCAAAGCCGGCCTCAGCAAAAGCAAGCTGCTAAGCAAATCAGTGAGACCTTGTCCCTAAATAAAAATACAAAATGAGGTTGGAGATGTGGCTCAGTGGTTGAGTGCTCCCTGAGTTCAATCCTTGGTGCCCCTTTCTCTCTCTCTCTCTCACATACACACACACACACACACAAAAAAAAATAGGGTCCTAGCATTGGAATTCATGGGTCACATAGTATGCACCTTTGACATTTGATTGAAAGGACCAGATTACTTTGTAAACAAAGCAAGTTTTTTTTTTGTTGTTGTTGTTGTTGTTGTTATTGTTGTTACTGGGGATTGAACCCAGGGGTGCTTACCCACCAACATCCCTTTTTATTTCTTATTTTGAGACAGAGTCTTTCTAAGTTGCTTAGAGCTTTGCTGAGTTGCTGAGATTGGCTTTGAATTTATGATCCTTCTACCTCAGCGTCCTTAGACTTTGGGATTACAGGCATGTGCCACTTTGCCTATCTAAAAATTTGTTTTAGTAAGCTTATATTATCACTAATGGCGTAAAAAGTTTTCTTCTACCACATTTTAAGCAAATAGTAAATATTGTACTTGTTTTAAACTGTCAGTTGCTTGCTTGATAAAAAGATATTATTGTGTTCATTACATTGCCTTGTTTACTTGCAAGATTCAGCATATTTACTATTATTAGTAACTTATACTCCTTATACATTGCATGTCACATTTTTCTAACATTAGAAAATTAACTTGTTTTTAAATTCATTTGCTAATGTTAATAGATCCTAGGTATTAATCCTTTGTTGTATATGTTGGAAATACACTCTCTTGACTATTACTTGCCTGTTGCTTATGGAAGTTTTAAATATAGATGTAGTAAAATCTGTAGATTTTACATTTCAATTGTTGAGCAATACCTTCCCCATGCTCAGGATTATAAAAATAATGTTCTATACTTTCTTTTCTTCTTCTACTTTTTTTTTTTTTTTTTTGGTACTGGGGATAGAACACAGGTGAACTTTAACACTGGGCTATGTTCCCAAGCCATTTTAATTTTGAGATAAGGTATATTCTTTATAATTTTTTTATATTTTAATTT